GTCAGGTGAAGACTCGTCAGGTGAAGAAGACTCGTCAGGTGAAGACTGTCAGGTGAAGAAGACGCGTCAGGTGAAGAAGACTCGTCAGGTGAAAACTGTCACGTGAAGAAGACTCGTCAGGTGAAGACTCATCAGGTGAAGACTCGTCAGGTGAAGAAGACTCATCAAGTGAAGACTGTAAGGTGAAAAAGACTGTCAAGTGAAGACTAGTCAGGTGAAGAAGACTCGTCAAGTGAAGACTAGTCAGGTGAAGAAGACTCGTCAGGTGAAGAAGACTCGTCAGGTGAAGAAGACTCGTCAGGTGAAGACTGTCAGGTGAAGAAGACTTGTCAGGTGAAGAAGACTCGTCAGGTGAAAAAGACTCATCAGGTGAAGAACACTCATCAGGTAAAGAAGACTCATCAGGTGAAGAAGACTCGTCAGGTGAAGACTCGTCAGGTGAAGACTTGTTAGGTGAAGACTGTCAGGTGAAGACTCGTCGGGTGAAGTCTCATCAGGTGAAGAACACTCATCAGGTAAAGAAGACTCATCAGGTGAAGACTCGTCAGGTGAAGAAGACTCGTCAGGTGAAGAAGACTAATCAGGTGAAGAAGACTCGTCAGGTGAAGAAGACTCATCAGGTGAAGAAGACTCGTCAGGTGAAGACTTGTCAGGTGAAGAAGACTCGTCAGGTGAAGACTTGTCAGGTGAAGAAGACTCGTCAGGTGAAGAAGACTCGTCAGGTGAAGAAGACTCGTCAGGTGAAGACTTGTCAGGTGAAGACTGTCAGGTGAAGAAGACTTGTCGGGTGAAGACTTGTCAGGTGAAAAAGACTGTCAAGTGAAGACTCGTCAGGTGAAGAAGACTAAACAGGTGAAGAAGACTCGTCAGGTGAAGAAGACTCGTCAGGTGAAGAAGACTCATCAGGTGAAGAAGACTCGTCAGGTGAAGACTGTCAGGTGAAGACTGTCAGGTGAAGAAGACTCGTCAGGTGAAGACTTGTCAGGTGAAGAAGACTCGTCAGGTGAAGAAGACTCGTCAGGTGAAGAAGACTCGTCAGGTGAAGACTTGTCAGGTGAAGACTGTCAGGTGAAGAAGACTTGTCGGGTGAAGACTGTCAGGTGAAAAAGACTGTCAAGTGAAGACTCGTCAGGTGAAGAAGACTAAACAGGTGAAGAAGACTCGTCAGGTGAAGAAGACTCGTCAGGTGAAGAAGACTCATCAGGTGAACACTCGTCAGGTGAAGACTCGTCAGGTGAAGAAGACTAGTGAGGCGAAGACTGTCAGGTTGAGACAGTCAGGTGGAGACTGTCATGTGACGAAGACTCATCAGGTGAAGACCCGTCAGGTTGTCTCAAAGTCCAGACAACAATTAAATACTTGCCAAGGAAAACCTTGACAGGTAGTCAGGTCATTCCGTGGCGTCAGAGAAAAAGACTTGTCAGACCCAACATTTTTCAGTCAGGTCATCTGGACAGTTTCTTTTTTTGTGCTGAAACGTTTCGCCTTCAATCCAGAAGGCTTCATCAGTCAAGAAAACACACAACAAAATTGATTCTTCCCCCAACAGCTTACTCCAAAGTGGAACAAACCAGTTCTGCTTGTGATAAGATGGTCTCTTTGGTACGCCCCTCCTCCATTGCTGGCCCTCTTCAAGCAGAACTGGTTTGTTCCACTTTGGAGTAAGCTGTCGGGGGAAGAATCAGTTTTGTGTTGTGTGTTTCCTTGACTGATGAAGCCTTCTGGATTGAAGACGAAACGTTTCAGCACAAAAAAAAAGAAACTGTCCAGATGACCTGACTGAAAAATGTTGGATTGTATACCTGGATTATTGAGCATGGACTTGTCAGACCATTCCACGGTCGAGTCGTCAGTAAAAAGGTTCTACATGACCCCCCTCTCACATCAACAGTCCTTAAAGCAGCTCAAACCACGGTCAGTGTTACCTGGCAGGTGATGCAGGAGCAGAGCTTGGAGCGCCACGCTGACGGCCAGAACACAGCTCCTGATTGGTCTCTTTTCTGCTGACTCGCCTGTAGCACCTTCAGTCTGCAGCTTGGCTCCACCTCCTTAGCTTCTGATTGGACCTGTAGC